TGTGCCACAGCTTGTTGGTTTGCGTAATAATTCTTGAGATATCGTTATATTAAATATTTCCCAACGATTGGCATTCTTCTACCCATGCCAAAGGCCTTTTCAGAAATTCTTAAAATAGGCGGAGCTTGATGTCTTTTATACTCGTTGATATTCACCATTTTAAGAACTCTTTTTACTAAAGCAGCATCGAAGCCTTTTGCAATGATTTTTGCTGGACTTAGCTCATGTTCAATGTATTCCTTTAAAATCGCATCTAAAATTTCATAGTCAGGCAGTGAATCTGAATCTTTTTGGTCGGGCCGCAATTCAGCTGAGGGTGGTTTGGTGATGATGTTTGAAGGAATTATTTCAGCATTGCGATTAAGGTGCTTACTCAATTCAAAAACTTCCGTTTTATACAAATCACCCAACACTGAAATACCTCCGCTCATATCGCCATATAAGGTGCCGTAGCCAACAGCCAACTCACTTTTATTAGAAGTGTTTAGCAAAATAGTACCAAATTTATTGGTGTGCGCCATTAACAATGCCCCTCTAGAACGCGATTGAATATTTTCTTCTGCAATACCAAATTCAGTACCTTTAAACAACGGATCTAACTGCTTCTCAAAAGCTTGGTAAATGCTTTCTATTTCAATAATGTGATGCTGGCAGCCTAAATTCTCACACAGCTCAATGGAATCATCAATGGAATGATCTGAAGAAAATTGAGAGGGCATTAAAATTGGAATTACGTATTCTTTACCCAACGCTTTAACCGCTAAAACAAGTGTTAGGGCTGAATCAATTCCTCCACTTAAACCTAAAGTCGCTTTTTTAAATCCTAGTTTTTTGAAATAGTCTTTTATACCTAAGACTAAAGCGGATTCAATACGCTCATACTTGCTGGGGACCTCTGAGCTTACGATTTTTTGATTAACCGAAGAATCAAGAAGTTGGATAGACTCTTCAAAATAAGGCAATTGCTGTATGATTTCTCCTTTTTCATTCACTGCACAGGAACCACCATCAAAAATTAGTTCAGTTTGCGCCCCAACGTGGTTTACATAATAAATGGGCAGTTTATACTTTTGTGCATTCAACTTAAAAACCTCTTGGCGATTTTTAGCTTGGTGCTGAGAAAAAGGGGAAGCTGCAATGTTGATAATGATATCAGGGTTCTCATTAATTAGCTCATCCATTGGAGAGTACTTGTACTTCGGCTGACCTCCAACATTCCATAAGTCTTCACATATGGTTAGTGCTATTTTTTTACCTTGAAACTGTATGCAAGTCGGATTGCTTCCTGCTTCAAAATAGCGGTTTTCATCAAAAATATCATAGGTAGGCAATAAGTTTTTATGATGCTGTGACTTTACTTGACCTGCTTCTAGAAAATAAGCGGTATTCCATAGTTTTTTGCCTTCTCCAGTGTTAATGCTAGGTGCCCCAACAATAGCGGCTATTCCTTTGCAATGCTTAGCGATTTCTTGAATGGATTTTTCACATTCTTCAATAAAATCTTCAAAAGATAAAAAGTCACGGGGCGGATAACCACTTATGGCCAATTCAGCAAAAACAATAAGTTCTGCACCCAGTTTTTTTGCGCTTGTTATTGCCTCAATAACTTTGTATTGATTGCTTTCAAAATTTCCTATGTGATAATTGAGTTGAGCTAGGGCAATTTTCATGAAAGGGGTTCCATCAAGAAATTAAAATAAAACACCAAGGTTAAGCACTATGGAATTATTAAAGCCTTTAATTTCTTTATCGTCATTATCTGCTCGAGGTGTTTGTGCATTTCCATTTTGATCCTCATTAAAACCTTCATTACCAAATACATTAGTTAAACCATTATCATAAGTTAATCCAAAAAGAATCGAAGTGTTGCCTGATATATTGTACTCTGCCCCTAAACCAACTATTAAGCTTGCTCTAAAAAAATTTGTTTCACTATCAAAATTTACATCTTCTTTACTTGAAGTGCCATCATTTCCAGGGTATTTAAATTCTGTATCAGCAGTCGCATCATAAGCAACAGCTAAGCCTAGCCCAAACTGTCCAAAATAACGCATATAACCAATTTGGTTGGTTTTTAATTTTAAGGTGACAGGAATTTGTACATATCTAAACCTAAGATCGGCACTTGATCTACCACTTTCTTCTCCTGGGTTTCCATCTGCATTTTGAAAATCTGGATAATTATATTTCACACTGCTTGTTAACATATTGACCCCAGTTGAAATAGCATAGTTATCTGCAATATTGAAATCAGCAACCACACCATAACTAAAACCCAGCTTAGCGCCATCACTTTCAATTGTTTCTGAATCGGCTTTTAGCCAACTTACATTTGGAGAAAAGTGAAAACCTAATTGGAATTTTTTTGGAGAATCTTGTGAGTAGATGAATGAACTCATCGCTAAAAAGCAAATAAAGGCAGTTGTCTTTTTCATAATTTTGTCTCAGTTAATGTATTACAAATCTAAGGGGATTTTATTAAAATGAGGCATAAGCTTTTTTATTTTATTCTAGTTGCGGCCATTGTACTACAAGTTGGGTGCGACAATAATAAATGGGAAGTTGATACCTCTTCTTCTACGCTAAATTTAGAATTCAAGCGATTTGAGCAAGATTTATTTGCCGCGGCAAGTGAAGGATACTCTGAGGAGGAAAGGATTTACTTGAATGAAAAATACCCGCAATTATTACCGCTTTATTTAAGTGGAATTATGCACTTTGGAACTGTAAGTCAGGAACAAAGTTGGCAGCAACTAACAGAATTTGTTGGAAATGAAGATATTAGTTCCCTTTACCAATCGGTTGTGGAGAAATATCCTGAAAACTCACTTGGAGTAGAAGAAAACCAATTGAGGGAGGGATTTATTCGATACCATCACTTTTTCCCCGGAAAGAATATACCCCAAGTGTCGACGATGATTTCTGCATTTAATTACTCGATAGCAGCTGCTGATAGTTTATTAATTATAGGCTTAGACAATTACTTAGGTTCAGATTTTAAGGTGTATGCCAAAACCGGCATTCCACAATACAAGTTCAAGCAATTCGAAAGAAAATATTTAGTTTCAGATGCCTTAAAGGCCTGGTTAACTACTGAATTTGAAGAAGAGGGTGGAAAAAATATGTTGGAGCAAATGATTTTTCAGGGCAAAATTTTATACTTATTAACCGCGTTTTTACCTGAAACTGAAAAGCCAGTTTTTTTTAATTACACCCAAGAGGAACTCGCTTGGTGTGAAGAAAATGAAAGCCCAATTTGGTTTCATTTTGTTGACATGGAGTTACTGTACAGCGTAGAAAATTTTCAAATTAGAAAATACTTAGGAGATGCTCCATTTATAAGTGGGTTTCCTGAGGGCTCCCCTGGAAGAGTAGGGCAATGGGTAGGCTTTCAGGTAGTTTCTGCTTACATGGAAAATAATTCTGATCAAAGCCTAATGGACTTAATGGAGTTAACTGATGCCAATAAAATTTTACAACAATCAAATTATAAACCTAGAAGATAATGCCTAAAGAATCTGAGATAAAATTTAAAATTCAATTAGATGAAAATCAAGTACCTGAAGGTATTGAATGGCTTGCAGATGGATCTGAAAAAGAAGGAATAAATAGAAGCAAAGCCATCATGTTGGCGCTGTGGGACCAAGAAGAAAACAATACACTGCGTATAGATTTGTGGACCAAAGAAATGATGGTAGATGAAATGAAAAAATTTACTGCCCAAAATATTATAACACTAGCTGATACCTTTGAACGATCGACTGGAGAAAAACAAGTGGCTGAAGAAATACGGGAGTTTGGGAAAAGTATAGCAATTAAATTAGGTGTTTTGAAATGATAATTTCTAGGCTTGTAAAACTGATGCTATTAGTATAATTTTAACCCCGAACAAGCTATGGCAAATCAAGATAAAAAGAAATCGGGAATCAAAGTAAAGACATCATATGTTTCTAATCCTGAAGTCTGCAGTTAGCTTACCTTCCTGCTGACAGCCCCAAAGCGGCACCGGCCAAGCCAAAATTGATTGAATCATGTGTCTGCAAAGGTCCTTAGATTTGAAAGTTGAAGGGATTGAGCAAATTCACTACGGCGAAACAAACAGTGTAGTTGTTTTCTAGCCAAACGAATTGTAGCTTATCCGGCTTATCCACTTGGTGTGCATCTGTGTTGTTCGGGGGTTCCCATTCGGAGCGGCAGGGTAGAGGCTAGAGGTAGCGATGGAAGATTGAGTCCTGTATCTCTCGTCACCGAAGGGCGCAGCTAATGAGTCCAGCGGCCGACTGGCGGCCTTGTGCAGGGGCCCCAGGCCGGAGACTGCGATGGCGCTCGAAGGCCTGCTTCGCATTGCATTGTTTGTGACGGGTTTCAGGCTCCAAAGCCAGGTGCCGTTGACGCCCTGGCATTTTTGCGGCTCAGAGCAGATTGGTGCATTTTGCTTGGATGTTAGGACTTTAACTTTTTGCCAGCTAATGGGTTTTTCATTAAACCACTAAAAGTTAAACTTTTGGCAGGGGAGCAGAAAGCAACGGAGGATCTGCTTCCGAGTTTGGGCTTCCAGCCGCTGTGTTGGCTCAGGCCGCAGGTGTTTTCGATGCCTTAGGCACACCCAGCCCCGCGCGCCCGGAGCGCCCGCAGCGGATGGCGGATGATCGGCCCATGCCCCCGCCGCCTCCGCGGCCTCCTCCCGGCTCTCGGCCTCCCCCCTTGCCGGAGACGCCGAAAGACCGCACCCCCCGTCCTGCAACCCAGGAATTCAGGCAGGGCCCTCCAAAGAATGAGCTTTGGGAACTTTAGCCATGCAGATGACATGGAACTTGGGCCATTCAAAAGATGACATGTTTGGTGGTGGTTTCGGGGTGTTCGGATGGAGCTAAGAACCCCTGGTCAGGGAACCAGGCTTGCAAAAGTTGCCTGAACAACTTTGGGAAACCAAAAAAGGATGGTGTTTAAACCATTGGTGTTTAAACATGTTTAAAGGCGTAGAATCGCCCAACGTCCAGGGAACACCTGACAAAGATCCGGGAGGAGCGAGCCAAACACGGCAAAGGCGAAGGCATGGGCCACACAGTCGAGGCTGGGGGTGGATAAGCGCAAGAAAGGGGCGCAGCTCAGCCAATATGTCCGAAAGTACCAAGTCCCGTTCAATTCCATGTTTGGGGGCATCCAACGCAGAAGCGGTTCAGAAGGGTTGCTGCCCTTTTCCTGGATACTTCACTCATCAAAAGGCAGCATTGTTTTCAGCTACTTAACTAATCACAAGGCAGCATTTTGTGAGCTCCCTTAGACAGTTTCTTTGACAATGGTTGGTTGCCTTCTCCCAGTTTCTAAACCAAAAAAAGTATTTCCACACACAACGACACCCAACACCCTGGACCCTGATTGACCTGGTTGCAAGTCGAATGCCGGCCTCGCAAAGAATTTTAGTTTGTCACCCGAGCCCAAGGGGATTATTTAAGGGCAGCATAACGTGCATACCTACATATATACCTACTTACCCATACATACCCATACATACCCCTACATACCCGTACGTTCCCCTACATACCTCTATATACCCCAAAACACACCCCTACACCACATACCCCTACACGCCCCTACCTAACCCGACATGCCTCCATACCTGCATACATGCCTACCTACCTACCTACCTACCTACTTGCCTACCTACCCACCTACCTACATACCGACATGCCTGCATACCTACACACCTGCAAACCTCATGCCCACATACCATACACACATACCTACCTACCTACCCACCTACCTACCTGCATGCATACATACATTCCTGCACGCATGCATACACACATGCAAACATACGCCCACGCACACCCATACGCCCCCCCCATCCTTCCACACAGCCGTACGTACATACATCCATGCGTCCATCCATCCATCCGTCCATCCGTCCATCCATCCATCCATCCATCCATCCACGCATGCACGCACGCACGCACGCACGCACGCACGCACGCACGCACGCACGCACGCACGAGCATGCATGCATGCCCACAAACACACACACACACACCCATCCATACACAGCAGACAGGCGAGAACATGTACTATTTTATGTTGTATCACATCTTATTGTGTTTTCAAATTGTGATGTAGTTTAATATGTTATGCTACATTGTATCTTGTTCTGCCATGTTAACTTGTATTACATTTTAACATGTTGTGTCATGCTATTTCGTGGCATCTATTGTTATTAGTGGTATTATTGTTATTATTATTATTATTATCATCATATTGTGTTATTATCGTTCTTTATAGTGCATTCCATCATTGTATTTTGTTGCGATGTTATGATGCACCTGTACTACTCGTTGTTTTTCGGGGGTATGGATGTTGTCACCTCACGTTGGAGCCACACTGTCAAAGAGCGTAAACCCGACCATATGTTTCACGCCTAAAGCACAAGTGATGCTGCGGCTGCCGACCACGTTATCTATGCAATAAAGTGCCACTCGTTTAGCGGAAAAGAATCTTCTTGATAAAGTGCAGGTGGCTGGGGATGTCAGACGCAATTGCATACATCCAAAGACCATTAGTATCTGGGAAGGAGCACGCAAACAACGCCTATTTTTCGCATCCCCAGCACCAGCAAGGCCCAGCGTGGCTTTTGAATCCGATACGAAAAGAAGAACAGCATGCAGCAGCAACACCCCCAGCAGCACCAGCAGGGATGATATACTAGGTGTGTGAGCCAAGCTTCCTCCCAGTGATCAGTTTGAATAAGACTTGTGTGATGATCATGACTCATGATGCGGTTATCAGAATATCACTGATGTGTTGCCGCCCTTCCCGCGCGCCTCCCGTTTTGGCAAGAAGGGGTCGGCGGATTGCGGGCTGGTGCATTGTTGTATTTTACAATGTTTTGCGCAGTTTTGCAAAGTTTAACCAATTTTACCCGAAGGGAAGCCATGGCAACGTGAAGCGGGGGAGGGGGGTGGTGGTGGGGATTATCTTACAATGATAGTTCTATTTTGGCCCCCATTTTTTTGGTCCCATATGATTGGGATCCTGGTGTTTGGCTTCCTGCAAAGCCAAAACAAGGGCGTTCCCCGTTGCATGGTTGCGGAAAGTTTGGTTTTAGGGCCACGTTTTGTGATATCAAAGGCATCCTTTGAAAGGTTTAAGGTGCTAATCTAGTCTTGGGGATGCCAACTTTGGTATCCCAGAAACGGTGATTTTCCACAATCGTGCCCCCCATTTTTGAAGAGGGGAGGCCCAAAGGGAAGGAATGAAAGAACAAATTAAACTGCTGGGTTTAGACTTGAACGTTGACCAAGAAACAAAACGGGTGTTGTGTTTAATACATGTTTAACCAGACCATGCTCAAAAAGGCCTTTAAAAGCACGGCCGACTCGCCCCAGTCACCCACTGCCCTGAAAAGCTGCAAGGCTGCGCCTTCTGCAGGGCGCCCCAAGGCGCTGCGGGACCTGTCCCGGCGCTTCTTCAGGCGGGTCGAATCCAAGCATCGGCCAAGTCTTGGGGATGGGAAGTCAGACTTGGCATCGCAGCAGAACAGTGTTTTGCCGCAAGACCCCTCAGTTTCCTGTTTTTTTGGAGCTGCAAACGTGGCAACTGCAACTTTGATTTGGCGCCGGCCAGAAGTTGCAACTTTTGAAAAGGGGAGGCGTCCTGGCAAGATACGACTTGGCCATTTTCAAGCATGCAGCAGCTTTCAGAAGACTAGAGAAAAACGATGTGTTTGTCAACCATGTGAATCATCCAGGACCCCCTTGTTTCTGAGCTTACCCCGCCTGGGCGCCAGAAGGGATCCGAATGCCAGGGAATGTTTCAGCTCAGAATCAATCCTGCTGGCGGTTTCTCAAAAATGAGGCAAGGTTCCCTTTGCGGACTCCCATTGGACCAAGCTGAACAGTTGCAAAGCGTACTGAAGGGGACTGACAAACGCACACCTCACCACCAGGTGGCGTTACTTTTTTGGCGTCCCACCGCAGGTTCCCCGTTCTGCCCAGCCGCCTTTGCTTTGAGGTGTGGCAGGCACTCCATCCAGCCCCTGCAGAGCCTGGCGGATTTGCCGGAGATGGCGGAGTTTCACGAGGAAAGCGTCGAAGCCGCCGGGGCGAGTTGTCCAGTAAATGTCCCTAACACAAGTAAGCTTAGAACGAATATACGTGGAACTGGAAGACCGTGCTCTCTACGAGGAATATATGCAATGTGCGTGAAGAGCAGCGGCTCGCTTGCCACAAGTGTTGGGCCAGCATCCTCGAATGACCCTCCGTTGGAGGAGGGCCCTGCCAGACTTCACTCCGATGCCCTTCCCAATGTTCTTGATTGATTTGCCCTTTCAGCCAACAAACAGCTTTTGTTTGTAGGTGAACCCCCGCCCTCCGCTCCCATCAGAACATTCTTGGGGTACTGCATGCCGTGACTCTGGGTATGGTGCTTGTCGGGCTTTGGGGATGCAGTTGTTCCCAATTTCCGCGTGCCACGGTTCGCCCAGCAGGACTTTTCGAAGTTGGTACGGGCGCTGGAGGACGCCGAAGACGCGCGTGTCTCCTGCAACCAGGAGGAGGAAGTGAAGAAGAAGCTGGAAGAGAAGCGGCAGGCATCCCTGAAAGCTGCCAGCGATTTGGAGACTGGGTGCAAGAGAAGTAGCCCATGTTCGGCAAATGAACCGAAGTGTTCAAATGTTCTTCTTTGGGGCCGGATTTTCCCCAAAACGCCAAAGGGAATGGGTCATGTTTGCAATTTCTCAGTTTTCCAGACCTAAAGTGGAGCACCAAGGAACGCTATCAGCAGAGGATCAGGAGGTGTGTGGCAAAGATCCGGACAGACAAGGAACCTGGGAGCCCTGGGGGCCCACTGCTGGAGGAGGAGGGGAAGGAGGAGACGGAGGAGAACAGGGCTAACCCTTGTCTGAGGGTTTGATTTGGCCCCCTTTAAAGAGCGAGAACAAATAGGGGGTAGTTTGAGGTTTTGGCGCTCACCTGGGGTTAAACGAGCCCACGATGCAGGTCCTTCACTATTTCAGGTTCAATTTGTAGAACGTCAGTTTAGTCCCAAACCACTCGCACTTGGTGCCTGGAGGAGAAGAAAGAGGGCGAGCTTATCCAGGAGCGCAACACGGCAGTTGTCAATCTGATGGAAGCCCTCAAGTCTGAGCACGACCTGGTGCTTGAAGCTGCAGGATGCAGGGTTGAGCAATGCAACCCCGTGTTCAAGCCATGCTGCAAGCTCCTGTTGTTTGAACAACTTCCTTTAGGTTCTTTTTGAGGGCCGAATCGTGTTTGGTTGAACAAGCTTTGCCCGACCCTGGCAGGATGCTCGACTCAGTCCGGAGATGCAGAAAGGGCCGCTACTGCCTTGCGCGGCAAAGCCGAGCGAGCCACCAAACGACTGGAGGAGGTGCGGAACGCCTAACCCCCAAAGAAAGATCGAGTTTTGGCCAGGTGGGTCCCTGGCTGGCTTCCATAGGTTTTTAGAGAGCCCCGCAGCCCAGCGAACCCTCAGGTCTGGACCGCCCTGTGGGCTGCAGATGAGGCACAGGACCGGAACCCCGCGCTGGGCGAGCGCGCGCCGGAGGTGACAGACAAGAGCACGGTGCGAGAGGAAGCCTTACAGCAGCTCCCCAGCCCAGGAAATCCACATATTTTTTCTTCAACTCTTTTTGGGGACCGTGCGGCCCGGCTCTTTTTTTTTCAACTCGGGGGGAGGGGGTGCCCCCTTTGTCCCCTTGGTTTAACTTTGTAACCGGAAGGGTTCCGGTTTTTGTAAACAAAAACAGGGTGGCAGTTCGATTCTTGGCACGGAAATCCGCTGGCCTGAGGCTCAGGGACTTTCCCCATAGCATCTCTGGGCAGGAGGCTGGGGAATTAGATCAATCCGCCTGATAGATGGGTTGTCAAAAAGATGGCCCCCTTGAGCTTAAGGTGCCACTTTTCATATATCAAAAGGAACCCCTGATTTTGACAACCTCCAGATTCGGAAATTCGGGCTCTGGGGGCCCATGAAATCCTCGATCTTTGTGCCAGGCCTTCCTTGTGTCCCAAGACTTGCGGATTGGAAAGCTCGGGATCCGCCACACCCACTTTTCTTCGCACACCAATCAGGTTCGAACCTTCGGCATGTTTTGGATCAACGAGAGGTGATGCAGCACACCAACGAGGAATTCCTGGAGCTCAGGTCGCAAGTGCAGCAGGTCCATCGCAGCTCCAGTGGCGTGGCCAGTCTGAACTCAGTGGAGATGGCATTCTGCCAGCTGAATGAGGCGAGGGCACCCAGCAGAAAGTTTCCCGACCTGGATTTCAATGTTTTTGGGGTTGGGTTCCCATGTTCTCCCCCCCCCTTTGCTGGTTTGAAGCATCACCTTTTGGGTCATATTTCCACTTTTGCCGGTTTCAAACATCCTCTTTGCGGTTTTGGGTTTCCTTCCAGCCCTGAATATTGCAAGTTCCGCAACGTCGACAACACAAATCCATGCCCCCTTTCAATGTTGCACGCAGACGTTAAGTCGAGGCCCAATCTTGTTTTTGCAAGTTCAACAGAATTTGGGGAGAGGGGGCCACGGATGTCGCGTAGCGGCATATCTGGTGGAAAGTTACGCTGCACATGTCTCTTTGCTGGCTTTGAACATCATCTTTTTTCCGTACATGTCTCTTTGCTGGCTTTGCACGGCCAAGACAACGTAAATTTCAACGGGCGTCCCCTTTTGGGCCGTTTCCTCTAAATCGTCAATGGGAAAGGGTAGGGGTCCTCAGGCGATGAGCGATCTGCTGCAGGCGGTTTGCCAGGAGAAGGAGTACTGGGAGCAGCTGAGCATCGAGAAATGCTTTCCCAGCCGCTCCATGATCGATGCATGGCCCATAATCCTTCAAATTCATTCAGCGCCAGAAGGGGAGCCGCGGGAACATCATGATGCTAAGGTCCTTGCATAGTATATTATGTGCTGATCGGATAAACAACATAATACGTCTGCGATCGTAATAGTAAGTTTGATCGGGATTATTGTTTTTGGTGAAGGGGCTGATTTGATTATTGACATTCAATTGCAAGATGTAATGGTCACTATTAGGCTGCAATGGCTCCCCTTGCTGTGGCTTTGAATTATGGTTTTCACCCTTCGCCGTTTGCACGGTTTCCCCAATTTTCCCATTTAACCAGCAAGGGACTCTTTTTTTGCCAAGCCAGCACAAGTATTATACATATATATTATTATATATATATATATAAATTTGGGGGGAGTCTAGGAAATCTATGGCCTAGGATGCAGGGTTTGAAGAGCACCGCCTGGCGGCTGCCACGGCCGAGTGTTTGGGCGCGTACAGGGACAGGCACGTTCCTCAGGTTCCCTTTTCGGATCTCTAAAAGTGGCAGCTTGGTTGGAAGCCGCCAGAAAACTGAGCAACAAAAAAACTGTCGGTTTGGGGAATCCAGTAGGCTCCAAGAATTGAGGATGGGACTGCGACCCCTGACAGGCTGGGGATGATCCACAAGTTGCAGAAGCAGATGCGTCAGGCCCAAGAGGCACCACAGCAGTTGCAACGAGGCTTCGAGGAAGCCAAACAGCACCGCGCCCAGATCTTGCAGGAATCCAAGAAGCTTAAGAAGGCGCAGCTTATGCAGGAGGCCAAGGAATTGTACTCCGACGACCGCGTGGGCTGGTTGGAGACGGCAGTTGGCAGGCTTTGGAGAAATTCAGACATCGACGTCAGGAAGAGGAAGCTGCAGGAGAAGCAAAGAGCGTCCTGGCAGGGCATGCAAAACCTCTTGCAACTCAGCCAGCTGCATTGTCCAGAATGGGTGCCCAAAGTCATCGAGTTGTGCATCGCAAACACCACCCTTGATCAAGGCCGGTCAGACTACAGCCCAGGCTACAGGGATGCTTCGTTCCTGCAATCCGTGCTGGTGTGCCGCAAGATTTCGGACTACACAATTGGAGAGGCCTTTGAGCAATCAAGGCACAAAGTCTTCAAAGCCGAGCACGTCCGCGAGAGTTGCGTCCTGAAGCAAATCGATCTGAGCAGCGCGAAGGGCACGAAGCAGTTCTGGAAGCTCGCTGTGACACATACCAGGTACCGGCATCCTTTCCTGGTTTCGCTTCAGGCTGCGTTCATCGACACGGATGGGACAGGCAAAACACTTGAACGTGTTTTTGGCTACTTGCATTTTCCGCTTGCCAAGGGCACACTGGATGACGTCCCTATAGAGGAACTGACACTTTTCCGGTTGCTGTCTTTGCTGCAAGGGAGCGCTTGCGCGCTGGCGTACTTGCATGGCGAAAAGGCCACTCATGGCGACATCAAGCCATCCAACATCCTTTGCTCTGAAGAATTTCAGCCAATGCTCACTGACTTTGAGCTGTTGATTGATGCAACGATCACAAGCGGGCAGACCACGACGGTCGCGGCTCTGGGCGGCACTCTGGACTTCCTGGCGCCGGAGCTGTGCAAGGAAGGCGCGCGCGATGCCAGCAAGAAAGCCACTTCCAAGGCGGACATGTATTCGTTGGGTATGACTCCTAGTTGCGCAGTGACACCATTTTTTCCGTTGTTTCTTCAAACCCAGCCAGAAAAAAAGTGCTCTCTTTTCTCGCGGCTGCTGAGCTTCTGAGGACTTTCAGACAAGCGCTCAGTCGCTGCCGGGATCATAAGGGCAAAAAGCATGGCAGCTTGATGGATGACAGACCCCGTGAGACTTTCGAGAAGCTGGACGCCTTGGCAGATCGCATGACGCAGCAGGTTGCGAGTGCCAGACCAGAGGCGAAGCACATCGCAGAAGACCCCGTTTTTCTGACCCACATTGCTGAAGAGAGGGAAGCAGCCTTGCACCGGAACAGCAAGCCAACTTATTGGTCCAAAGACTCCAGCAAGGAGCTGAAGGTCTGCAAGATCCCTGTCGGAATCTTTTGGCCCCCTTTTTCTTTGGACTTGTTGGACCTCCTCCATCTTCCACCCAGCAAAGACTCGAGGGGGCCTCTAACAAAGTCTGGCCCAGGATTGAGGAGGGCGACCAGGCCTTTAAAGCGCTGCAGGATGCCTTGGTGACGCACCACATCCTGGGAGGGAGGGATGGAGGGGAGAAGAAAGCAGGCCGGGTTGGTTGCAGAATCCATGTTCAGATCCCAACGACCAGGCAGTAATAGTAAGGTGAGACTAGCTTTGTCCATCAGCCGCTTGTGTGTGGGTTTGGGGCCCATTCACTTCATAATCGTGCCCGTAATCGGTGTTCAAAAATTCCCCCCCCCCCGCCCAATGCCCCGAACGAACCCGCAAGGGGAAGCCACGACCCTTTGGCACAGACTAAAAAGAACACATGGGGGTTGATCAAAAGGTCCTTGCAAGGAGTTATGTATTCGGTGACCATTCGTCTTGGCTTAAATCCCTCCGCGAAAGATTCCGCGTTGAATTCTTGGAGGCATGCCTGTGCACTTACGTATTTGCAGACCCCGCTCCCTTGTAGATAGGGAGATACGCAGCACCTACACTTGATTCCCTGCCTGTGTTGGGATTGGTGCAAATCAATAACGTTGGCTGGGCTATTTTGGAGCAAGTTTCGCGAAAGACCGGCGAAAGGCCAGGGAGCTTGTTGCAAGGTTCCGCACATCGCCGGCAAGCGCAAGTGGCAAGGGCGAATGACGGCTACCGTGTTTGCAAGCATAACTGCAGCAGCCACAATGGCTCCAGAGCGCACGCTGCAAACAAAAGGGCGTCGCGAAAGATTCGCGAAAGAAACCTTATTTCTCGCGAAGATGGCGTTTGCCGGAAACAGGAAAATTGATCAACTGGCACAAATGCATGGGGCCAACCTAATTTATTTTGAGAGCGCTCGAGCATCCTGCTGCTCACCCTCCCCCCAAAAAACCAAGGAGCCTAAAAAGGCTCCTCTGAAAGCCTCCAGCAGGGGCCCTCTTTCAGATTGCTTGATGTGTTTGAGTTGTTTGCTGGTAAACCAATTCTACAACCAACGCGGGTTGCTCAAAATGTGGGGGGGATCCTCGGTCCGCAAGCCGTAGTGGCGCACCACTCCGACCAGGGAAGCCACGGTGGGCCTGGTTGTTGTTGCAACCAAACGCGGGGGGGGGGGGGGCTTGAACCTCCAAAGCGCCATAGAAAGGTAAGGTGACCTGAGCTTTGTTTTGGTTGGATCTTCGCTCTTTAACTGCGTTTCCTGCTAGCCCGCAAAATGTGAAGTTCCGGCCCCAAAAAAATGCCGTCCGGTCATGGCACCATGACACCCCACCCTACCCGGCTGTTTCGGGAGTGCACGCGATAAACCTGTAAAAAGCCGTCGCTTTGTGAAGCCCTGGCCACCAAGCGAGGCCCCAGGATGTGGGGCGGTCCCAAAAAAACAAGGAAATCATTGGAGGCAAGCCTCAACAGATCGTTGCTTTCCTTTGGCTTCCTTTGCCTCCCTCTAAAAGGACAGCCGCACAGCGGTGGTTCCGAAAAGGAGAGGCGCCCCTTTCTGCCGGCCGTCCCAGGCCGCCTCCAGGTGCGGAGAGCTTGGCGCATCGAGAACCCGCTGCTGTTCGCCAAGTACCGTGCGGAACAGGACGCCGTGCGCGCCAGCGTGGACTCCCTGAAGAGGCGTCTTGGGCGCACTTTTTTCGTTCGGTTTTGTTTTTGTTGGATTCGGAGCTGGGTGCTTCCCAGATGTACACTTGTTGGCCATACGCTTGGATGGACTTTTTGATGTGGGTTGACAGGGGCTTCCCAACAGATCCCAAGTTCGAGGTGCGCTGGTTTTTGGAGCGAGGAATGGCTTCCTGGGAGCCCCCTGGGTTCATTCCCAAGACCTCAAGGCTGTCCCCAAGGCAGTCCCCTAAGCTCCAGCCTCGGTTTCCGCCAGTTTAGCACTCTTTAAGCATCCTTTACGCTCGAACTCGCAATTCCCAACAAGGAATCCACAGGTTGTGGGAAAGAAGGTGGTTCAATTGCGTGCTGAATGGGTGGTTTCCTGGGGTGGCCCTCTACTTGAAGGGTACCACCAGGTAGCCCCAAACCATGAGTCAATGAATGTTCCCCGCTGAGAGCAGCTCAGCGAAGGTACGGCAAAAGCCTTGCAGACCCCCGGATCCTGAGCAGACTCACGGAAGCCACGGGCGAGTTGCATTCCGCCCGCCTGGACGCATCGATCAACGAAGTGTACTTGTTGCATTGTCGGACCGAAGGCTTACTTTTCAACTGTTTGCCCTTTTGGACTTAGCTTGCCCTTTCAACCTCTTTGCTTCCTTGTAGTTTTCCAACGTGTCCATTCCACTTATCACCTTATCAACGGGCTAGAATTTTGTGCAGGTTTTGTCCGTGTGGCCCAGGTTGCATGGTGTCAGAGATGTTGGGAAGTCGCTGCTAAGCATCATCACCTCGGGGCCGAGCAAAAGCCATTGCACTGGAGGTTTGTTCGGCCTTGGTGTTTATTTCGCAGAGGACGCCGGGCTTGAAAGCCAGGTTTGAGGCTGCCTTTGTCTGCCATACTAGAAGAATTTGCTTTAAAATGGCACGAGTCACAGGGATCGAGATCTTTCAAAGGATGTCAGTTCAAGAATCTCCCAGGTGGCTGGCTTATAGGAGCCCACTGCAAAGTCTTGCAAATCGTGTGGCTGTTGGATTTATAGGGGCTCTGGGGATGGGAGCCAAAAGCGGCGTGAGGACGCAGCAAAGTGCCACCAGTATGCAGCGCACACGAAAGATGAATACTTCAACCAGGCCGTGGTCGAAACTCAACAATCTCCCCAGGCAAGTCTATGGAAGGAACCTCACCCAAAAGGGTTTCCTTTAATGCTCTTACTTGTTTGTTCCATTTAAATTGAAAGGGGAGTAGGCATGGTCGTCAACCTATACTTTTTCACAGACGCCAATGTAAGGGGGTCATGACCATGCCCCGGATTTCGTTGGAGTTGTGGCCAGGTGCCGGCCTTACATAGGCACCTCTATGAGAACCGCGATGCTCATCCCGGCAGCGGCACTGAGCCTGTGTATGTTCACTACATCCTGGCTTGCCGAGTGATCATGGGCTATTTTGCCATGACTCAGGAGAGTGTTTTTTTTGTTCTTCTTCTTGTTTTTTCTCGGTGCGACTTTCCGTGATATTAGGGGAACCCCATAAGTCTAAGCTTGCAAATCCCACTTTGGCATCACAGATAGGGTTGCGACCTCAGGATGGTAAGCGCGACGCCCTGATGGTGGATGGGGGCCCGGTTTGGTTGACCGAGACCCGAACAGAGTTGGCGCAAGTGAAGGGCTGTCCCGAGGGCTCTTCAGAGAAGTACCACGCCTTGATCGGGGAAAGTGGTCCGGGGCACGAGCGCTTTCGGGAGTTCATGCAGTTCAAAGATGAACGGATCTACGCAGAATATTTGATTGCGTATAGTGTGTCTTAGTCTCACGCTGCTGTGAAACAGTTGTCTTGTGCAGACTTGCGGCCAAAGCCTGTTTACTTGCGAACTCCTGTCGTCCAGTCTGGCCTGGGATTGAAAACAGGTCCGTCGGAAAGCAGCGTCAGTCTGACGACGTACAAGTGGTTGCCTGCAGGGTTGGCTTTTGCCCGACTTCTTGGCACCAACCTTTGTTTTCTCAAGTGACACGGGTGTGTCATTTGTTGGCGGACCCCGGGCCCCCGAAATTGTGGTTTCCTTCTGGTTTCCCTTTACAACAGAGAAGCCGATAGTCTGCTCGCGCATTGGCGCACGCTACCCCGATATCCCGGTAAGGTCCGTGTGCCTTTGTCCTTTGGCTAGCGAGGTGCGCAACGGCCGACCGGCTTATCGGCTCGTTGGCGCTACATAGAAAGTCTGGGGCCCAACAAATGGTTAGTTTCCGTTTGGTTTCCCATCGAAATCCAAGCACAAGGGGGTTCCCCTGAAAATGGCACTCCCGCGTTGTTCCCAATGTCGCCGTTTCGCAGCTTCTCCAAGCAGGGGCGTCCTGTTACGGGATTTTTGGACAGGACTCAACCGTGGCCTCGGATCTCGCCTATTCGGCAATTCTTTTAGGGGAGCAGTAGCCTCAAAAAAAGTAGCCTCAAATGGGGGAAAGTAGCCTCAAAAAAGACCCCCCCATCTCAAGTTTGGGCATTACTGTACCATGATTAGAAATGTAAAGCTTGCGGTGATACGGTGTCCACTTTCTTCAAACCCCACGTCGTTTACATAGCTGTATGGCTGTATGCGCCATCGGTGAAGTCGGCGGCCGATCTGCGGATTTTTCTCAGGGGTGTGTGTGTGTGCGCGCGTGTGTGCGTGGGGTGGCCTGCGGCATCGGCGCGGTGGAGTCCTTGTTTTGGGGTGCAGTCCCGGCCAAAAAAAAACACAAGGTTTCAAGCAGCTTTCCCGTTCCGAACAGACATTCGCTCCAATTCATGCGGATTTGTTGGAATCGAGCAGCACCCAAAATACCAGCTGATTTAGAGATATTTGGAGTTGACCCCCGCGGGGCCCCCGCCGTTCTTGCAGGTCATTTTTGAGGATGCATCCCGAAACCCTGCCTGCGTGGCCCGAGGCAGGGCCTTAGGGACGAGAGGCGCGTTGCGTGTTTGGCTCGCTGGCTGGGGTCTGGTCCCGGACGTGGCGCGGACAAGAAATATTTCGTCTTTCCATTTCATCCTTGAAAACCATCTGCCAAGAGGTCGAGATTCGAGATTGGGGGGCACAGTAGCGCAGCATTTCATGTTAGCTCTTGTTAGGGCAGGTACATGTACAGCAGCCTGGCAAAAGTGGCCTGAGCCCCTGCATGGTCAAGTTTGTTCAAAGAAAGCATCAGGACTTGAATCAGGGCGACTGCAGGGCTTTTTCGTTTTGAAACACGTTCTGTCCCCCTGGCAGTGAACCTCTTCAAGGTGTTTCTCCTGCGCTTGGCGCTCTGCTATCCCAACTGGTGATCTCAGGTATCCAATCATATCCTTGTGGCTCCTACTTGATGTCTGCAAGGGCTGTTCTTGTTTGTTGCGCGTGCCCCTCGTATCATCAGTGGGTGCCTTTTTCGTTGCCTAAGTGAGTCAAGACCCTCTGGACGTTAACGGCAGACAGAGGGAGAGAGAGAGAGAGAATCATGTGCCATCACAGGTGTTTGCTGCGGGTTCACTATACTACAGTGATCGGGATTCTGAGCAGTACTTTTGAGTCCTCTTGAGTCACTGTTTCGCTCGGGTTTTGAAGATGTTGCTTTGGACGGTGAAGTGGACGCCTACTTGTGCCTTGTGGATTCTGGGCCCCACACCCCCTTGAATTTCGCGACTTTGGGGCCGGGCAATTGGATCAACCCATCTGTCACTGAGCAACTCCAGTGCGTGATATGCAGAACTTGGATTTTAGACCGAAGTGGAGGCCAAACGTTGGCTGCAGCAATGTGTTGCAGAAGTTGGTCAAGCCTGTTCCGTACCTGTTCCACTGTCAGCCGTCAGGCAGCCACAATCGTCTGACGCATCAACCCAATCCGAAGCCTTTGGAGAGGTGAGACATCCAAGGCGCAGTTGTTTCAGTTTGTATGGAGGCCTGCCTTTTTGCCCGCAGGAGCCCCGTTGAAAAAAACCACCGCAGCGGCAATTGCCGAGCACGGAAAGGAGTTGAATGAGAGGTGACTCATCTTAATTTGTGAATTTAGATGAAGGTGATTGCCTTGTCACAACTTGTGCAAGGTGCGCATGAGGCGATCGATCGCCACCTAAGGCATGTTGCTTCCGACATGTGCAAGCAGGAAAAACCGGGGTGGGCTTGACAGGGGCCTGTCTGGGAAAGGCTCGCGGATGCTCGCGGCTTGGCTCAGGCTCCAGTCGCCGCACGGGTCTTGGCCCAGTTGCGCCGCGGCAAACTTTGGCTCAGACCGGCAAGGCGAAGCCGAAGGATCGATGCAAGAGCTAGCTGAAGCGCGGCATTCATGATGCAAAAGCAGAGCTATGAGCAAGTGGAAGCGGAGCAGATCAAAACGAGCAGACCGTTGATTTCTTCCTTGCTTTTCAGAACGAGCAAAAAGGCTGGGGAGGATTGGGGATGTTTCCGCAAATCTTCGGGCAAACGAGCAAGCAAAGTTTCCAAGCACCGCCTGCTGGCCACAACTTGGCCACAACAACAGCTCCAGCGGGTATGTCTCTTTTCCGGGCATCCTCTTTTTTTTTGGTTTTCTTTCAACAGAATGCAAACGTCGTTATTCAGGGAACCCTTAGTTGGTGGTTGGGATTGGTGGTTTGGGACTTGAACCCCTGGATTTTGTAGAAGGTTAATGGGAAACCCCTCCTCCACCACCAAATCACCAATCCAAAACACCAATTAGAGGAAAGCTGATTTTGACAATCCCAGCTGGTTGGTTACTCAGCCGCCAACTTGGCGGTCGCCCGCCATGCGCGGAGCCCGCAAAGCTTATGCGCGCGGCTGAGTCGCAGAAACGAGTTCTCGGTTTGGGCAACCGCAAAACAGGGTCGCATATTCAAATACCGCTTTTTCAACGATGGAACAGGAGGATGTTGGAAAACTACCTTCATCTTGTAAAGGCCTCATGTCCACTTCCATGATTGTTGGAAGGCGAGTACTCTCCCTATTGCTCCCTCCCATTAACATGGCATTTGACAGGGAATTGGTCGCTTCAAGAAGGACCATGCCCATTCCAGAACTCGTGGAATTGGGGAGGGTGGTGACCCCGGAATTCCACTTGAACAGGACACCTACGATGGACATGGGCTAAGCTTGCACTCGGCCTACAGTTTTCTCAACAGCTGCAACTGATGTGTGGTCTCTCCCCATATAAGCTCCGGACTCTGAGGTGGGTTCTGGAGGGTGCCAGATTTCATGGAGCGGTTGCTGGATAGGGTTCCGGGGCCTCCCTAATTTTCCGAAGGTTCCAGAAGGTTTGGAGCTCCAGTATTCAGAGCAATTCGAAGCTGCAGGCAAGGGTTCCCAAAATACGTTAGGGGATATCACTGGAGCTTCCTTGGGTTGCTTCACAAGTCAGGTGCCTCTTAGTTGGTGGTTGGGATTGGTGGTTTCGGGATTTGAACCCCTGGCCGTACATCTGAAACCATCCCCTAAGCTCCAAACCAGGAATTCAAACCACCAAGTGGCGGGGAGCTCAACAAAGGGAAAGGGACACCCACGAGCGTTTTTTGTTGTTGAGCCACGTACCCCAAGGCGGCGCTCCCTGGGTGAGGTGGCAGGAAGGGGTTCTTTTGCCTCGCGGTGCTTCGAGGGGCCAGGCTGCTCAGGTGATTTTTTTTTTAAACGTGTGGGTTTTTCGCGGGTATCTTGTTCTTCTGTGAAGGGAGCCAAAACAAAAGCCACCATGTTGGATTTTGTTCCCGCTCCCTTTGTCTGGCACATTGCTTGAACGGGCGTTGGTCGGGCCCATCAACAAGCCTGGCCATTACCCGCACGAGTTTTCCCAATTGGCACGCATGGTTCCCTAGATTGGGGGCCAAAGTATATCACGATTAGCCAAAAGGACACCTACCATCAAAATGGGGTGGCTCCATTTAGGGCACCAAGCGTTGTCCCACCAAACGAAGCGCATAGGATGGCTTTGGTTTTCCTCCAGCATCACTCATCGCAATTGAAGCAATCTCCCCTTGAATTGTCCCGACAAATGTGACGTCTTCAAGCAAAAGTGGAAATACTGGAAAATGCGAGCGGCTTGCCTGCATGCTGGCGAGCAGGGATTAGCGGGAAGCCAGGACCGCCAGCATCCCTCCAGGCACTTTATAATCCGGTCGTTCAAACATGATTCTACCAAAGAGAAGCCTATCAAACTTGGCCGAAGTGTTTACAAACTGGCAACCTTCGGATCCCCGAACAAGATGGCGAAGAACATGCCCAGTGCCTTGCCATTGCGGGCGGCAAGGGGCTGGGCATGATGCTGCGCCATCACGAGGTCTCTTTTTAACAGGAACAGCTCGGCGTCAAGATGTAAAACTGCAATTGCGCGCTTTTAGAGGCGCCGAACGTAGGACTGGTGAAAGTTGGCAAAAGGCAAGCTGAGCCTGACAAAACATGCCTGGTGTGATGTGGGATGCGTGCAGCGAGCGAAACACAGACGCTAGCCACTCTCGTTTGGGTGGGCGGCTTGAACTGATCAAGGGGACAGCAAACAGCAAAGTTCCATGTTAGACCCTGCCCCGCAAACTAGCAGTGGATGGCGCTGTTTGGCTGCCCCGAGGTCCTTGTCGCCGTGATCTCAGCTTAGAAGCATGCAGAAGCGCCACGCGGTTTTGCTGGCAACGGAGCGGTCTCTGAGGTACCAGAGATGCTGCGTAAAACACGATGACGCCTGCTTTGCCTGGGGCTTGGCTGAGACGTGGTTCCGGCAATGCTCGATACAGCACAGCGCACGGCGGATCAGCTTCAGATGAGGGGCGAGTGATCATGACGGTAGAGTTGTGATTAGTCATTAGGTTGTGATGTAAAATCCCGGAGTGCCCTGGCATTTGTGCTTCAGCTCGCTGGAAGGATGAACCTGTTGCGAAAGAGCTATGCTGCAGCATCCCCAGAGGTTGTTGCAAAGACGTTCAGGGCAAGCGAGCAAATGGGCTGTGGACCGATTTTGCTGAACTCGGACTTGATCTCACTGGTGGCTCTCAATGCAAGGTTGACTTTGCACCATAGTTTGGCTGCAAGTTGTTTGCTTGGTGCTTGCCTTGGTGAGCTGATGTCTTGTCAGGCTCAGAGGTAAATCGCTCCAAGACCTGGTGGGCTGGGCAGGCCGGGCGCTCCCATTAAGCACGCCAGTTGTAGGCGAGCATCTTGTTTTTGGATTGGCCTTTTCTTGGGTACCACTTAGTTGGTGGTTTGGAGTGGTGGGAAACCTCTCCTTAGCCACCACACCACCAATCCAAACCACCAAATGGAGGGAGGCTGATTTTACTTGCGCAACGTCCGCGATGTACCAAGTTCCAAACCGGCCGGCAGTTTGTGCCACAAGTCGCCAGGAGGTGCTCAGCTTTGCCGAGCCCCAAGCGCACCTTTGGCCAAGCCTTGGCTGTACCCGGGATTTTCGCACCTTTGGTGCCCACAACCGGGCGCGAGGCCCATTTGGTGCTGTTCCACCTCAGCCGTGGCACGTCAAAAGCTGAGCCTGCACATCGAAAGCCGTCTGGGCTCTAAACAGCTAACAAAGTTCAATTCCTCCACAAGAAGGCCAACTTTCGATTTCTCCAAACGATTTGGGTGCTTAAAAACAAGCGCGAAACATAGGGGGGATATGTCATGTTATTTCCGAAGTAAGCCTTTCTCCAGTTTCGAAGCCCACAGGGGCCGGATTTTTGAACATTTTTGAACGGTAAATGGGAAGCCACCCCTATCCTCCAACCCACCAATCCAACTCTCCAGGCCAGTCCTTCTGCTTCCACGGCTACTTCGGTCCGTCAGGTCATGCCTCACCAGCCCCACTTTGGACCTGGAGAGCTGCTGCGGACCGCGCCTCAGAAGGGTCTCGGGGTTCCAGTGTGATTTGCAGGGGGCCGAGCTGCCCCACCACCAGGAAGATCGCAACAATTTGGGGGGTGACCTCTTTTTTTGTTTGACGCACAGGTGAGAGAGTGAATGTTCGATTGGGAGCCAACCTTGTTGTTTTTCTTCTCAGATTTCTCCGGCCCCCCGATGGCACCCAGATCGGGCTTGCAAGCCCAGGCTCCGGGGCCTTCCTTGGGCACAGCTGCCCGAGGGCTCGGGCCGGCAATTTCGCATACCAAATGGCGTTGTCAAAAACAGATTCTACAAATGATGGTTGGGTTCCGCATGAAAAACGGCAGGGGGATGGTTCGGTTGCAACATGCGCGTGCTGTTTTTGTTGAAGGAACCTTGTTGAACAGAGCTGGCTGGGCCTTGGGCCAAGATGTCGCGCAGGTTGGGACAGCGCCTTTTCTGGGCGGCACTGCTGTGGTCATGCGGCCCAGGCCAATGGTGTTTCTCAAGGGGCGTGCGCTGACATGGCACCTGTCGCCTCGGGCCAATTTTCCAGCACCGTGCAAAACGGACAGGGATTCGGGAGCCATGTGTGGGTTTAAGCCCCCCTATGATTTCAATGTTTTTGGATGAACGCTTAGCCATCACAAACCCAGTACGAGAAGAACACTGCGAATATGAACAACTCTATCACCTGTTGAATGTCGCTAGCACACCGCAAAGTCGGACCCCATGCTGCATGTCCAACTTGCGACGCCCAGGTCACCACTCGCTTTGGGGCGCCGAGGCAGAGATGCAGCCGTGGGCCCGGAGCTGGGGGACATTTGATGTCCGCTTGGGCCCACTTACCCTCCCACCCAACTCACATGGAACCCGCCGCTTGGGACCCGGTCCCCTTGAAAGGAACATGGTCCAAGCCAGGACCCCCCGAATGTCAGAGAGGTTCCATTTTCATTGGTGGGAGGGCACTTGATTTTCCGTAACATGAATCGCCAGGACCGCAGGGTCTGTCAAGTGCGCCGTTTTTTGGATGCGCCGAGGCCAAGCAGTTGCTGGGCTGGGGACTTCAACTACGAGCGCTGCTGCAGCACTCCAGAGGTGCGGTTCCAAGGCTTCGACGAGCTGCCAGCCCTGGTTCTCTCCCGGTCTTGGAAAAAGAAGGACTGCAAAAGGGAAAGTGGAAGAAACTGGTGTTTTCATTCTTTCAATACTGGAGAGGGCCACACCTGATGCCAAAACCATTGCGCGAGACAAGAGACAACCTTTCTCCAGGACCATGTTGCAACGTTGAAGCGGAACTTGGTTGGCTGAAGCCAGCAGCCAAAAGCCCAACTGCCGAGTCCTTGTTGAAATTCGCACCTCCCAACCCCAGTTGTGCCCAACAGTTTCTTCCAAAATTCCGATGGCCCCGGCCAGCCAACACCCCTTCACCAACGGCCGGATGTGCCAGCGCCGGATCACCTCAAACCCTTGGCCCTTGGGAGGTCCAAAACGAACCCCTTCGTGGGCCCATTCGACACTGTCCGAAAGACCAGAAAACAAAGGCTTTGGTAACGTACTTGGGGTTTGGAAAAAGAAAACACATGACCCTGGAAGTTCTGCCATGATGGAAGATGCCCAGAAAAAAAAGAAGCAACCAAACATGAAACAGGGGTGACGAAGGCTGACCAGAACGCACTGGGTTCGGACCTGATGAAGGGGGACCATCCCCACCAATGTTGGGACCCGATCGGCAGTCCCCTTTTCCCCCGCCGTACCAATTCATGCTAACCTGCTCCCGCCTGCATCCCCTCAGAACAAATCGTCACCCCGTATCTTGTTTCACCCCCAAAAAAGAACACACACGAACAATACAATTCCAAAGAACAAAGGCTACTGCGAACTGCGAACACCCTTGTGGTAAGTCAGTTGTTCTTCGACTGCCTCTTCATCCAGCCAGGCGGGCATGTTCGACTGCTGGGATCATCGCTTCAGCCGCTCGGCTGGCTTGCAGAGCCAGGTGTAGTTAGGTTCCTGAGGCAAACCCATGCGCCATCCGAGGTTATGAAACTTGCTGCGAGACTCACGAGCAGGCCAAGATTGGCAGCTGGCACAGGGCCCAAGACGTGCTTCCTATGTGGGCGTGGCTCAAAACGATGGACGCCTCCCCTACCAACAAAAGTTTTTTTTTGGGTGCGATCTCCTGCAAGCAATCGCCACAAATAAACTTGGAGGTGTTTCTCAACAGATGTGTCCCCGAACATGGTTGGTTTGCTTTTCAGGTTTCCCTTCCGCCAAAAGGGTCCGAGATTTTGAGAAGCTCTCATACCCACAGGAAACACAATGTCAGCCGGCGCTCCAAGAATTGGGTCTGTTGGAGTGGGGGGGATTCATTGGGAAACCGAACCGTAATCAAATGAGAGCCGCTCAAAATAGATCGCTTTCATGGACCCAGCAGGTTTGGGGTTTGACATTGGGGGTTCTCTCATCGTCAGCCGCTCGCGGGTCGCTGCCCAGGTCTGCGGGCAACTTGTCCGCGCTCTATGCCGCCTGGACCTCGGTGCTGGGCTGTGAGGAAGAATTGCCCGGACGCCGGGAGACTTCTGGGGGTGCTTTTGCTCCTTTTTTCTAGGTTTCCCTCAAGATCCAACAAGGAAAGCGCACCCCTTTGTTTCTCTCACACTGGAGCCCTGGCCCTCGCGTTCGGAGGAGGGTTGCTTGAGGTGGCGTGGCTTGGTGCCTTGTTGGGCCAATGTTCAGGGCTTTTCCCCTCCCTTTGGAACATCACCTTGTGGGCAAGCTCAAGGCGAATTTCCTCGGACTGATGCTGGGCAAGCTCAACAACTATTTTCCTTTATCTTTGAGTCGCCATGGCAAAGCTCGTGTTTGTTTTTCCCATCTTCGCTTAGTCCAAAGGCAAAGCCGCCCATAAAGAGGTGGGGGGTTGGGGGGTTGTCGGCCCCAGGCCGAGGCGGGCAACTCAAGCAAACGTACTGTTAAATAGCTGGGTGCTCCGTGACCAACAAACATCAGCGAAGATAAATTCAGACATCCAACCAGAAAGTCAGACACCCAAATGTCAGACATCACCGCGCAAAGAGTCAGACATCACCGCGCGAAGAGTCAGACATCGCAACACGGAGAGTCAGACATCATAGCCGCCGACACCCGCCGCCCGCCGTGCGTCAGGATCACAACTCGCCACCCGACACCAGCCCAGCGTCAAGACCTCGACTCGCCACCCGCCACTCGCCACCCGCCGTGCGTCAAGATCTCGACTCGCCACCCGACCCCCTTCCACCCAGTTTGGCTGATTTGGAGACGCGGGGATGGGGGATTCTTGTGTCTGCGATGCCGTTTTGCTGATTCTTGTCGGTGCTCCCTGGCACGACCCCTCCCACCTGCCTGCCTGCCTGCCTGCCTGCCTGCCTGCCTGCCTGCCTGCCTGCCTGCCTGCCTGCCTGCCTGCCTGCCTGCCTGCCTTCCGTTCTTTTATTTTTATTTTTATTTGCGTCCTCGTGCATCCTGGTTTGCATGCTGCTTGTTTTCTTGGCTGCTTGCCTGCGTGCCTGCTTGCTTGTCTGTTTGCTTGCTGTCCTGCTTGCCTTCTCTGCGTGCTTGCTTGCTTGCCTACTTGCTTGTCTGTTAGCTTGCCTTCCTGTGTGACTGCTTGTCTGCTTTTCTTTCTCCTGCCCGGCGCCTGTCTGTGCGCCTGCTTTTTTGCTTGCTTGTCTGTTTGCAGGTCTTCTTGTTCTGCTCGTCTGCTCGCCTATTGCCTGCCTGCGTGCTGTCCTGCCTGCCTGCCCTCGCTTGCTTCCTTGCTTCCTGCCCGGGCGATGGCTTCTCCGCGTGCTTTCTTGCTTGCGCGTTTGTCTGCCGGCCTGCCGGCCTATTGGGTATGACCCTAGGGGCCGCTTCAAGCGGAAACTGGCGCAGCCGCCGGGCAAAGCGCGCGGTGGAGGAGGACGCAGAAATCGAGAGTGCGCTGTCGTACTTCAGGTGCCGTGCGAAGGGAGTGTTGTTCTGAGGTTGGCTTTGGTTTGCTAGAAGAAAGGAGAACAGAAGAGACAATTTCATGCCCTGAGCACGCGATCCGAGGGGATTGACCCGAGGATTCACCATCGCCGGGGTTGCGCAGAGATTGATTCGCGTACGCGTGTGCAGGGCTTGAAGCCGTCTCTTATGTTCTCCTCTGTTCTGGCAGGGGGGGGGGTTGATGGGGGGTGATGATGATGTTGGTGCGCTGGTGATGCATTTGGTTTTTACATAGCCCCCGGGTGGCTATAACTCCCGACCCGCGGGGACAACCTCCGTAAAGTGAATTGCCGCAGTCATTTTTTCAAGCTTTTTTGTTTTGAGGGCCCCCGGAGGTGTTTTTCTGTGTTTTTGTCCAACCCGAACGGTGCTCCCAGGCACCGCCCCGGCCTTACTTCGGGCTTTTTTTTCCCAAAAGCATCTCTGATGCTTGGGTTCTGCTTTAGGTTTTCTCTTAAGGTGCCTGGGAGCGATACAAGCTGTGACGACGGAGATAAGAAGGGATTTCCATTTCGTTGTGCTGCAGACCGGGCGTGCGATGCCGGCTGGGGGTGCAGACCGGGCGTACGAGGCTGGCTGGGGGGACGGCGGTGTGGGGCTGGCTGGGTGCGCGAGACTGGCGCGGTGGACGCTCGTGACAAGCGGAAACCGCCCCCGAGCGAGACGGGCGCGGGGCACGCTCGTGACAGGCGGAAGCCGCCCCCGAGCGAGACTGGCGCGGTGGACGCTTGGGGCATGCGGAAACCGCCCGCGAGCGAGACTGGCGCGGTGGACGCTCGTGACAAGCGGAAACCGCCCCCGAGCGAGACGGGCGCGGGGGACGCTCGTGACAGGCCAAAACCGCCCCCCAGCGAGACTGGCGCAAGGGACGCTTGTGACATGCAGAAACGCTCGTGACAGGCCGAAACCGCCCCCGAGCGAGACGGGGCGCGGGGGACGCTCGTGACAAGCGGAAACCGTGACAGGCCGAAACCGCCCCCGAGCGAGACGGGCGCGGGAGACGCTCGTGACAGGCCGAAACCGCCCCCGAGCGAGACGGGCGCGGGGGACGCTCGTGACAGGCCGAAACCGCCCCCGAGCGAGACGGGCGCGGGGGACGCTCGTGAAAGGCCGAAACCGCCCCCGAGCGAGACGGGCGCGGGGGACGCTCGTGACAGGCCGAAACCGCCCCCAAGCGAGACGGGCGCGGTGGACGCTCGTGACAGGCGGAAACCGCCCTCGAGCGAGACTGGCGCGGTGGACGCTCGTGACAGGCCGAAACCGCTCCGAGCGAGACGGGCGCGGGGGACGCTCGTGACAGCCCGAAACCGCCCCCGAGCGAGACTGGCGCGGTGGACGCTCGTGACAAGCGGAAACCGCCCCCGAGCGAGACGGGCGCGGGGGACGCTCGTGACAGAAACCGAAACCGCCCCCGAGCGAGACGGGCGCGGGGGACGCTCGTGACAGGCCGAAACCGCCCCGAGTGGACGGGCGCGGGCAGGCCGAAACCGCCCCCGAGCGAGACGGGCGCGGGGGACGCTCGTGACAGGCCAAAACCGCTCCCGAGCGAGACGGGCGCGGGGGACGCTCGTGTAAGGCCGAAACCGCCCCCGAGCGAGACTGGCGCGGTGGACGCTCGTGACAAGCGGAGACCGCCCGCGAGCGAGACTGGCGCGGGGGACGCTCGTGACCGCCCGCAAGCGAGACTGGCGCGGGGGACGCTCGTGAGAGGCCGAATCCGCTGCCGAGCGAGACGGGCGCGGGGGACGCTCGTGACAGGCCGAAACCGCCCCCGAGCGAGACTGGCGCGGTGGACGCACGTGACATGCGGAAACCGCTCGCGAGCGAGACTGGCGCGGTGGACGTCGTGACAAGCGGAAACCGCCCCCGAGCGAGACGGGCGCGGGGGACGCTCGTGACAGGCCGAAACCGCCCCCGAGCGAGACGGGCGCGGGGGACGCTCGTGACAGGCCGAAACCGCCCCCGAGCGAGACTGGCGCGGTGGACGCTTGTGACAAGCGGATACCGCCCGCGAGCGAGACGGGCGCGGGGGACGCTCGTGACAGGCCGAAACCGCCTCCGAGCGAGACGGGGCGCGGGGGACGCTCGTGAGAGGCCGAAACCGCCCCCGAGCGAGACGGGCGCGGGGGACGCTCGTGACAGGCCGAAACCGCCCCCGAGCGAGACGGGCGCGGGGGACGCTCGTGACAGGCCGAAACCGACCCCAAGCGAGACGGGCGCGGGGGACACTCGTGACAGGCCGAAACCGCCCCCGAGCGAGACTGGCGCGGTGGACGCTCGTGACAAGCGGAGACCGCCCGCGAGCGAGACTGGCGCGGGGGACGCTCGTGAGAGGCCGAAACCGCCCCCGAGCGACACGGGCGCGGGGGACGCTCGTGACAGGCCGAAGCCGCCCCCGGGAAACCGCCCCCGAGCGAGACTGGAGCGAGACTGGCGCGGTGGACGCTCGTGACGTGCGGAAACCGCCCGCGAGCGAGACTGGCGCGGTGGACGCTCGTGACAAGCGGAAACCGCCCCCGAGCGAGACGGGCGCGGGGGACGAAACCGCCCCCGAGCGAGACGGGCGCGGGGGACGCTACAGGCAGAAACCGCCCCCGAGCGAGACGGGCGCGGGGGACGCTCGTGACAGGCGGAAACCGCCCTCGAGCGAGACAAATGGCGCCGATGTGTTTCTAGGACGAACCCTCTCTTGAGAAGCTGTGGCCTCTTGGGGTTCGCTCTACTTATTTGGAAGCAGCCTGGAAGCACGTTGAAAATGTTTATGCTGAGCACACTCGGCCAAACAAAAGGGCGTACGAACATCCGAACGGCTGACCCCGGTCTACGCAGATTGTGTCTCAGACTTGTTTCAGACAGGCGTCAGACCCACCAAGTGACCGAGGCTTGTCCACACCGAGCCCCCGCACTTTTTGCCGCACACAGGACCCGAACAAACGCCAATGTGTTTCTAGGACTCTCTTGAGAAGCTGTGGCCTCTTGGGGTTCGCCCTACTTATTTGGAAGCAGCCTGGACGCAGGTTGACATGAATATGCTGAGCCAGACAAAAGGGCGCACGAACATCCGAACAGCTAACCCCGGTCTACGCGGATCGTGGTAACACTGTGTCTCAGACTTGTTTCGGACAGGCGTCAGACCACCAAGTGACCGAGGCTTGTCTACGCCGAGCCCCCAGCAAAAGCACAGCGCCGGCCCCCTCCCACCCAACTTGCCATCTACACGCATCCAATTGACAACGTGCGCGGCTCTTTCCACAAAGTCACCAGTTGCAATTGGTTGCGAATGGGAAAATAGGTGGAGCAACCAACGAATCCAAGCAAGCATACGAAGCAAGTTTGTGAAGGCCACGCGGCTCCATGTGAACAGCCCGGCGTTGCAGGTGCGCCAAAATTGTCCTTTTTGCCGCGCACCTGACCCGAACAAAGGGTGCCGATGTGTTTCTAGGACGAACCCTGTCTTGAGAAGCTGTGGCCTCTTGGGGTTCGTCCTACTTATTTTGCCGCACACCTGACCCG